TCTGAATTATATCACTCAATTCCTCTGGAGTTGGAGGTGGAGGAAATTCATCCCCCTCTGTACCAGATTCACAATCACTCTCTTCTGAAGAGCTTTTTTCTCCTAATTTTTCATACATCTCCTCTTCAGACGGTAATGATTTTAATGCTAATAAGATCAAATCACATAATGACCAAACCGAAACCGGTATCGCATCTCCCTCTTGCTGAGCTCTTTGTAAAGCTCGCATAACCTCTTGCCAACATTTTGAGTTTAACTGCTTTCTATTTGCTGGTTTAAACCAACGACAGTGTTTCTGCACATACTGAAACAACTGTGAAAATGACTTTTCTCTTTTACCCCTGAGCTCTTAAGTAATTCCTTAATTAATGTAATGTACTGAGCTTCAGAAGATGGGCTGTTTCCCATGACTCTTTTTTATCAATTCTACCTCTGAATTTATAATACGTTTTCAGAGGGCGGGGTATACTCCCCATGAAATATTTTTCTTCCCTTAAATTTGCCCTTTAAGGGGTGAGAGAATCCTCATGAAAATTTTTTCTAATTCTATCCGTAACGTCCAAGGAGTGAAGATTCTCTCATGACCCTGTTTTTAATTTTCCCGAAAGTTTCACTTACCCTGAGCAAATTCCCTTCCGGTTCCTGGTGTCTGCTCGAAAAAGAGAAAGAAAGAGAAACCACTACCTTATCCAAAGAAAAACCACCACCTTGTCCCAAATTCGGGCGCCAGAATGTTGCAGACTGAGTGTCCCAAAGAATAGAATAATTTTATAATAAAGAGACAGACAGCCAGGAATGAGATAGAGCAGAGAGCGTAAAACAGGGGGTCAGCAGTTCTTGACTGAAGACCTCGAGCCATGCTTCTCTGAGTATTTATATAGAATCACAAGGAAGTACAAAACAAAGGATAATGGTGAAATCTTTTACAGATAAGGCCAAGTTCCTCTTTCTGTTAATCTTAAGAGGGAGGGATTCATTAGATAAAAACTAAGAACAATGTTGACTCCTAAGGAATGCCCCAGTGTCACAAGGTGACCTCCTAAGGAATGCCCCAGTGTCACAAGGTGACCTTCAGCTTATATTAAGCCTCCCTCATTTCCTGATACAGCATTTGGTCTACTATTGTTAAATTTGATAGGAGTGACAGGGAATGGCAAAGGACGCATGGACAAAGGAGATTAATCAGAACTGGTTTTGATGGGGACTATGGCAACATGACAATGGAAGCTGATCCTCAAGGAATGCTGCTTTACTGGAAATATTTTTGTGAACTTATTTTGCTTTCTTGGTTATATTTGTTTGATTATATATAAAGGATTAAGAGACAAGCAAGAATGAATCCTGAAGAAGAAAAATTATACTCATCTTGATGATCACAAAATTATAATTTAAACAAAAGAGGGGGGAATGAGGGAAGCCGAATATCAAATTTAACAGTAGTAGACCAAATGCTGTATCGGGAAATGAGGGAAGCTTAATACAAGCTGAAGGTCACCTTGTGACACTGGGGCATTCCTTAGGAGGTCACCTTGTGGCACGGGCATTCCTTAGGAGTCAACATTGTTCTTAGTTTTTATCTAATGAATCCCTCCCTCATTTCCCGATACAGCATTTGGTCTACTATTGTTAAATTTGATATTCGGCTTCCCTCAGTCACTAGGAGTAGCAAGTGACTTGATGACACATAACAACAAACAACAACAATCTGTCCTCCACTCTGTAAGTGGTATATATGTGGATAGAAAGCCTTCCCTCAAGTGAACTTATACTCAGTGGAGGGATATCACATGTTTAGTGTGGAGGAAAAGCTAGCTAAACCTATCCAAGTGGGGTAAGGTGGGCTTCCCCGACGTGGTTTCTCAAAACCTAAATCTTAAAAGAACAAACATTTGCAAGACAACAAAAGAATGGAGCATGTGAGGACCCTCGTTTACCATAAAAGCATGGAAAACGTGGATTTCATAGGCATTTGTATTTTCTGTAGGTAAAGGGTAGGACAGACACATCATAGAAGTAGCTGGATAGGTAGAAACACACTGAGAATGGATCTTCTGTGGTATCTGAACACGATTTAATTCTGGGAGTGATAGGGAATCTTTAAAACATTTTGAACAGAACCTCATAATCATGTTTGTATTATGAGATAATTACCTTGGCAGCAGAGAAGAACCTAGATATTTAGGTAAGGATGAAGCAATTCCAAAGGTAGCACCATAGTTCAGGAAGAAGGGGGCAATGTGAACCAAGACAGCAACCACACGGATAAAGTGGGATGGAGAAGGGAATCAGCGGGTTCTGCCATCAGGACTTGGTCGTCTGGAGGTGTGTGTCTTTGTCATGTGGGACATGAGAATTCACTTCCACTAAGTGTTTATACTGAAAAAAAAAATTGAAAAAAAATCTGGAATATAAAAGCTAATGTAAAATTTAATCTCTTCTGAATTTTATTTATAACAGGCTTTTGCAAGTCTCCTTTCTGAACACTGCATTAGGTATTTATTTCCATCTTCTTGGCAAAGCTTACTTTTTGGGTTTTGTTTTCCACACAGATTCTTCAAACCCAGAGCCGAAGTACAGGTGGAAGGAGAATCTGTGAAAACAGCTATTCTCTTGATGACTTGGAAATAGGCCCAGGTAAGCAGAGAGTTTCATGTGAATGAGATTCTAGGAAGTGCTAATTAGTACCATAACCTTTTGACCTTAACATCAATGCCTTCAAAAAAAGAATGACAACTGAGCATTAAGCTCAGTTTAAAACTATCTACATAGGAAGGGGAGCTCTGGTGGCCTAGTGGCAAGAAGCTGCACTGCACTCCCAGAGGAACACGGTTCGAATCCACCAGATGCTCTGCCGGAGAAGGAGGCGCAATATCCTCCTGTACCAGTCAGATCTGATTTGACGGTACACGCACACAAAATAAAAATAAAAATAAAAAAATTAAAAAAAAAAAGAAAAAAAAACTATCTACATAGGATCAAACTGACACCTGGAAAAATTGGGATTTTCTGGTAGTGAGTTTATGAATGGGGAAGGAATAACTCAAAAAAGAGGGTAAGAATGGTTGTGCAACTGAAAGATGGTGATCAGAGTCATTGAATTGTAGATGTAGAAATGGTTGAATTGGCATGTTTTCTTGTGTATATTCTCAACAGCAAAATAAAATTTTTAAAAATTAAGTTTTAAAAAGAAGAGTGGCAGAAATGAAAAGGAAGTATGTCTGTAAGAGATAAGCCATTCTCAAATCATATTATTCTCTCCAAATAACTCTATATTTTTGCCCCAGCTTTGTTAATGATAATCTGTGGTAACCAAGGAATACCTTTCAGAGGTTACAATGGAAATACAGAGAATTTGTTGCACTACAGAGAATTTTGGCTCTGTGGCCATCTGAGGCTTTAGGGCATCCATGCATGGATGATATCCCTTGTCAAGATTGATTAGCCACTATTTCCAGTAGTAACCATAATACCTTTAAAGCAGAAATTCTTTGTTAAGAAAAGGATATATACAGGTACTTCACAAAAGAAAAAAAAAGTATATAATAAGCACAGGAAAATCATCAGCCTCCTAGTAATCAAGAAAATAAATGCAAATTAAAGCTGTCTTGAGATCTCATTTTTTCATCAGTTTTTATAATCTACATTGAGCATGGCCTTTTAATTTTGGGTGAGTGAGGGATTATCATGACCTTATAAATGACAAACTTCTGATTGGTTTTGTTTTTTTTTTAACTTTCAGTAGAAGAAATTGACTACTAAATGATAATGGCCCAAAATTTGGAATCTTGAAACCATTTGAATTGCATTTTATCTTCTATTAAAGCATATTATTTTCATGCTTTCAGGTCAGTTGTCATCATCTGCATTCAACTCAGAGAAAAGTGAAAATAGGCGAAACCTGGAACTCCCACGACTTTCAGAAACCTCCATAAAGGATCGAATGGCCAAGTACCAGGCAGCTGTGTCCAAACAAAGCAGTTCAACCAACTATACAGTATGTGTCTCACATCATTCATTTCCCATCCAGCTCATGGTCACTAACTGCTGCGAAGCAGTAAATATCTTCTAGACCTTTGCTGTGGAGCACTTGCTCAGCCTTGTCCCCTGATGACTATTTCTCACAAAAATTCTACTTTTAGCTTTCTTGGCAATCTTGACCCTGTTCTAGTCCTGACTTTGCCTTCCTAGGCTTTATTCCCATTCCAGTTGTGTTTCTATATCTATAATGTTACCATCCAGTATTATGATTGAGACTTTTCCTGACTCTTAACTGTTTTTTCTTTGTTTTGTTAAAGCACTATTGTTGTGGTGGTGGTGTTGTATGCCATCAAGTCATAACTGACCCTCCAGTGGATTTTTCAGAGGCGTTTAATTGCACAGAAGGAGATTGGCCATCTTCCTCCCAAGGAGCAACTGGTGGATTTGAACCACATGCCTTTGGGATTGCAGCACAGCTTTTTACCACTAGGCTGCCAAAGCTTCCCTAAAGTTGTACTAGTATTGTATAAGTTTTTATAGAACTATATATTTTATTTTCGTTTTTTAATAGGTAAGAGAGATTAGAGAAGAATATTGTCTTTGTTCAGTATTAATGGGGGAACTTTTTTTGTACTTGCCTCCAAGCTTATTTTTCAAAAGAAAAGGCTTTTACAAACTGAAAGAGGTTGTTAATGTGGGAACTTTTTGAAATATTTTATTGAAATATAACTTGTGTAACATAAAATACACTATTTAAAAGTGTACAGTTGCAAGCAACAAATGCTGGCGAGGTTGTGGAGAAACTGGAACCCTTATTTACTGTTGGTGGGAGTGTAAAATAGTGCAACCACAGTGGAAGGTGGGATGGAGCTTTCTCAAAAAGTTGCAAATAGAGATACCATTTGACCCAACAATTCCAATACTGGAAATATACCCCAAAGAGACCATAACTGACATCCAAGAAGATATATGCACTCCCGTGTTTACTGCGGCTTTGTTCACAATAGCAAGGAGTTGGAAACAACCTAAGTGCCCATCAGCAAACTAATGGATAGAGAAGTTGTGGTATTGTCACACAATGGAATACAACACTGCATTGAAAAACAAGGAACTCATACAATATTATTCAAAATGGGTGACCCTGGAGGACATTATGCTAAGTGAAGTATCTCAGTCACTAAAGGACAAATACTGCATGGTGCCACTGTTGTAAAACAGGACTGACATCGGGGTTAGGGGGGCACTGAGAAAGATGGGTTCAATAATGTATACTGCATTGAAGCAGAGGAGGGAGAAAACTGTTTAAAAGGGATATGTGATTAGGTATTTTTGTCATGACAGGAGTCCAGAGCAAAAGCTACATAATGGAGTGGACCTGGGGGAGAGTTTCTAAAACAATGAAAGAATTTTTCTTTTACTTTTCCAAGAGGTAGTGTACTAGTGAGGAGGGTTGGGAGGGGGAAAAAGCGCAACACTGAATGAATGGAAATCCAAAGTCTCTGTAAATTTTCATTGCAATTAATAATAAATTTTTTAAAAATCATTAAAAAATAAATAAAAGTGTACAGTCAGTGATTTTTAGCATATCCACAGATTGTATAACTATCACTGTTATCAATTTCATTACTTTTTTATCACCTCAGAAAGCAACACTAAATGTGTTAGCAGTCACTCCCTCATATCCTGGCAGCCACTAATCTACTGTCTTTATAGATTTGCCTATTATGGACATTCCATATAAATGGAATCATACAATTATTGTTCTACTTAATCTGTAATTCTAATTATGTGATTATTTTCAGAAATAGCAGATGAGAAAAAGAACAGTGGCAGAAAGATGACATGGTCAGTAAGCATAAAAATATGCAAATTTAGTATTCTAATGACATACACTCTTCACTTATTGATATAATTAGATTCCAAAGACCTGGTCACTGTATAAAAATTGATGTTATATGAAAATAGAGGATAACATCATCATGTAACTGCCAAATTACATCATTACATAACTGCCAAACCATTGAGAATCATGGCCCAGTCAACTTAACATGTAACTTTAACCACCACAGTCAATGTTACCCTTACTTCACATCTCAATTATTAATGTACAAAATAATCAGTAAATTTTATGCTGTTGTAAGAAATGTTAAATGTTGAATAACAAGATGATTGATAAGTGAGGAGTAAATGTAATAGAATTGAAAGACTGTTTTGTGTTTTCCTCGACTTAACTGATGGGCTGACACTATAGAACAGCTTAATTGAAGTTACCTTTTTTTAAAAAAATGGAAGTATTCATATATACACACACATATATGAATCTTTGAAACATTTTTTTTAAGACTCCAAATTACAAACCATTAATCTCTTGATGTCCTAATTTTTTTAAATTTTTTTTAAAAAACAAATCTAGAAGAGCAATATTGAATTTTACTGGTTCTCAGGCGGATTGTTCCTGCTGCATATTGGAAACCATTCTGTGTATTGTGGAAGTTAAGCCTTCTTTTCTCCACACTATTAAGTATGCATTCTCCTGTCACATTGGTGGACTAATTCTCTAGGCAATGAATAATTTCTTCTTGGTTTTTCCTTGTGGTTTAAGAAGAGATGATGTGTATAAATCAGTAGCTAAGTAGGCCATTACTCGCTCCTTATTCACCGGGAGTGTGAAAAATGAGCAGACTTAAACTTCTCTTAGAAGTCAGGACAGGAATACAATGAGTAGGCAATCATGAAGCTTAATTCTCTTTTGCAGCAAGATTTTGCTGCTTCTTGGTGCCCTTCTGCTATAAACATTCCGACCAACTGACTCCCTAAGTGGAAAAACCTGTTCAGTGACTTTTTTTTCACTCCTAATAGAGTTTCTGCAGTGTATTTCTCCTGCTCTGTAAATTTTAAGAGTTCTGAAGTCTTGAGGAATTCTTGTAAAAAGTACGTTTTATCTCATCTTAGAAGAATTTCTTAGGCCCCTTATAGAATATGGCTGTGAAAAAGAACACACTCCTTCAGTAGTTATGGAGGTTGGGCTTTTAAGATCGACTCAGGAATGACTTTGAACTGTACTGCTACATTATCTTCAATGATGGCTGCCAACCCCAGTTTATAGATGCACCTCCAGAAATGGTGTGCCTTCTTTTCTTTTTTTTTTTAAATTAATTCCAGTGAACATCTACAGAGATTTTGGATTTCCATTCATTGTTGCACTTTTCTCCCAACCACCCCACCCCCAACCCCAGTTCGCTCTTCTCCTTGAAAAGCAAAAGAAAAACTCCCTCATTGGTATACAATCCCCCCACATACACCCCCTCACCCCCACCCCGAGTATACTCCACTCTGCAACCCTCACTCCAGACTCTTATGATAATCATAATGCCCTAAAATATAATATTTAAACTATTCTCTCCCTCACTGGCTTCAATGCAGTAAACATAATTTATCCAGTTTTTCTCAGTCTTACCCCTACCCTGATGGTGTGCCTTCTCTTAAACTGTGTTCCGCACCTGAGTGAGGCAGTCACAGTCATGCTCCTGTCATCAGTCCTTTGGCTGTGAATTACTTCATTTCTTCCTCATGCCTAAGGATGTACAGAGACAAAAAGATAATAAATTTCTATCTCATTTCTGTGGACTTAGAAGTGACTCATAGCTGACCCTCCAGTGGACTTTTTTCTGATATAAATCACAGGGGAAGAGATTGCCCATCTTTCTCCCTCAGAGCTGCTGGTGAATTTAAACTTACGAGGTACCTCCTTTGTGTTAACTGCACAACTCCCTACAGACTAGGCCACCAGAGCTCCAGAAAATTACTGGATTACTAAAGTATGCAGAACAGATAGATCATCAGGAGCCTGAGCTGTATGAGGAGGAATGTGGCATCAGGATTGGAGGAAAACTCATCAACAACCTGTGTTATGCAGATGACACAACCCTGGCTGCTGAAACTGTGGAAGACCTGAACCACTTGCTGCAGAAGGTCAAGGACTGTAGCCTTCAATATGGATTGAAGCTCAACACCAAGAAAACAAGAGTTTTCACCACTGGGCTGATTGGCAGCATCATGATAGACAGTAAAGAGATTGAGATTGTTAACAGCTTCAGTTTGCTTGACTCCACAATCAACACTCTTGGTACCAGCAGCCAGGAAATCCAAAGACGAATTGCATTGGGACCTCTCCAGAGTACCGAAGAGCAGTGATGTCAGTCTGGAGACTAAGGTGCACCTGATCCAGAACATAGTCTTCGCAATTGCTGGACAATGACTAGGGATCATAGAAAGATAATTTATGCCTTTTAGCTGTGGTGCTAGAGAAGAGTATCAAATATACCATGGACTGACAGGAGAACAAACATGTTTGTCCTGGAGAGAGTGAAACCAGGCTGCTCCTTGGAGGCAAGGATTCTGAAGCTGACATATTTTGGAAATGTTAAGGGGGGACTAGTCCTTGGAGAAGGATAGAACGCTTGAAAGGGTCGAGGGACAAAGAAAGGGAGGGAGACCCTTGATAAGATGGATTGATTCAGTGACTGGGGTAATGAGGATAAGTGTGTCAGAGACGATAAGGTTGGCACAGGATAGAGCAGGTTTCAGGGCTATTGTACATGGGTCACTATGAATCATAAGTGACTCAATGGCATATAACAGAAAATCCTGTGGGACAGTACTGTTCTGTCTCATAGGATATAGTGAGTTGACATCAACTCCAGGCACATACAACAATAGATAAGGAAAGGGGCTCCTGTTATTGTTGTAAAAAATTATTAGCATACTTATGTACTAACCAGAGTTTAGAGGTTTGAGTCTACCCAAAGGTGCCTCGAAAGAAAGCCCCACAATCTTCCTCCAAAGTATTAGCCAATGGAAATTCTAGGCATAGATCTACTCTGACACACAAGTTAGAATTTACACATAAAGATTGGAAATGCCCACATTTACCTACCTGTTTGATGATTTTGTATCTAATAGCTAATTCATGTTACTGTTCTGCCCCAACTGACCATTCCTAAAAAAGGAAATTATTATTATACTCATTATGGTATTATTAATGCATGCTTTTTTATATGAAGGATCTATTATGAGGAATAAAATAAGGTATATCATAAGTAAAATGTATTAATTTTATGTGAAAAACTTGTTTTGAAAGTCCCACAAGAAAAGTTGTTTTATGGTATCATTGAGTATAATTTTACTTCTTATATGTATACATCATCCCTATCTCTCTTTCCAGGCCGGGCATTTATATATATGGTCAGTATATTTTCTTAATTATTGGCACTTGGCATCTCCTTTCCCCTGCTCCAGAATGGTTTTTTCTGATAAAACTCACAAGCTTTGCATTCCCACGAGCTCTGCTGCCTTCTAGAAGAGTGAATCACGAGAATGTGTTTGTCTGTGTTGATCTGTGTGTGTATCCTAATGAGCATCCAGTTTTAAGCTAGTGTACAATATTTAACTCTGAGGAATGTGTCCACAAAGCTGCTTTTGTCATTTCACTAGTCTATGGGTTTTGCTTCTAAGAGTTAGGGGGTTGATCTGACCTCCGGCCTAGTGAAAAAAAAATTCTTTTACTGTCTCAAGTTTTCTTAATAGATGTACTATGAAAAGAATGGAATGGGGAGAACTTTAAAAAAAAAACCCTCACAAGTGATTTTTATTTTACAGAATGACTTGAGAGCCGGTGGCGGTGAAATTAAAGCTCATAAATTAGAACAAAAGGAGAATGTGCCCCCAGGTCCTGAAGTCTGCAACTCCCATCAGGATGGAGAAAAGGTGGGTTGAAAAGTCTCATGTCCAGTTGCCAATGAAGCATGTGTTCTAAATTAGATGCTTAAAATTAGAAGCAACCCTAACTCTAGAGCTGTGGAGTGTCTGGGAATTTGGTAACAGCTGCCAACACAGATTGTCGTTTTTGCAGGTTGCATGATTCTGGCTGGAGAACTCTGAAACATATAGCTGACCAAATAATGAGGCTTCATTGGAAAATTCTTTTGCTCAGCAAATGCTCAGAGGGCAGAGAGTGGAAATCTGTTTTGATTAGCGATATTATCTTCAAAGTACTTGTATATTTTTAATTTAAATGTATATTTAACACATTTTATGCAAGAAAATCCCCTTCTTTCACTTGAAAGCCAGACACTAGGCTGAGCTTGAAAAACAAGCCATTTCACATAGTCTTTATCTAGTAAGGAAACTAAAAGTTACAGAGGAACTAAGTTAACGAGGTTGGTCATAATTAAACAATGTGATGAGTGCTGTGAAGTGGGAGTGTGCACAGCCATAGAGGTTCAGATGAAGGGCACTTCTACATCCTGTTGACTTCCCCTAGAAATGATGTCTAGACTTTGTCTTGAAGAATATGTAGGACTAAGCCACATGATTAAGGAGAATGTTGTCTAAGAAAAAGAGAGAGAAAGACAGACACAACATGTTTGATAGTTTAAAAACCAGAGGTGAAGAACAGGAACTAGGCAAGGATGCCCACTATCACCTCTTTTATTCAATATTGTTTTGGAAGTCTTAGCAATAGCAATAAGACAAGAGAAGGGAATAAA